AAGCTAGTTAGCAGCCTGATGCTGGTGGGAATGTCATCAGTATTGCAGGTATTAGTATTGGTAACACACCACCAATTAAAATCTGATACATTGGACAAATTAAAATGTTAACCTGATGGCAATAAATTAAAATTATTAAAATCGACACTGCAGGAACCATGAATGTCTGCAAGGAATTTCATGGCAATCCATCCCATTGTCGTCAAGATATTTTAGCCTGAACCAAATCATTTCAATCTACTTATTAAGGAAAAGTCAGGAGCTCATCATATCTTTAAGATAAATCCTCTGGGGAACATGAATGTCTACAGTTTTGTGCCGGTCTATGTAACAGATTTGGAAGTACTGCAGTGGATATTTGACAGCATTGACTTGCTAGTGTTGCTACATGTCATCAGGATTTATCATCTTGGAAAGCTCCTCACATCTTGTCTTTTCCAAAATGGGTATCCTCGTAGTGGACTTGGCTAGTATGGAGATGTCAGTGGCCTGTATGCATTTATCCATATATCTAAAGGTACCAAGATTACTGAACAGATGCTGGTCACTGCCCACTCTAGACACATAGTCTACAGGCGTTTACTCCATGACATTAAAAAAATATTCAGAGACCTTGAGAGGGAAACCACCTCAAAGCCAGCACCTTTCCCTATTTCTCATGTTTGTCCAGTGCTCTCTAACCCAAAAACCTTAATCACCCACTTCCAAACCCAACCCAACCCTTCCTCACTTAGATATGCACATTACATCCTCCACCCATTACTCCTCATTTGTCCTTCTACGTTCCCTCACTCCTTTCCATGCATCCTTAACCAGGCTCTGCTCTGTCCTGCCCTCCCTCTTTGTGTGTGGAAGCAGCTTGGCAGTGTAAAAGCCAAGTCATTGACAGGTTATTTGACTCCCAGTTGTCGACAGAGTGTGTTATTACCAGAGCATCTGCTGCGCCCTCGCTCCAACCTGAATCTAAAAGGCACAGCCTCATTCCTTCACTCAGCATGGCAAAGCAAAAACAAAGGCCAGAAAGCTGATTTAGTAAACACATAACCCACTGGATTTGAACGTGTTTACAGTGTTTTTGTATCAACTAATCTTTGCTGTGTTACATCAGTTTAAAGAAAATCTTGAATAGTTTCTCTTGATTTGCTTTGACTTGTATGTATGTACACAAATTCTGTTTTATTTATTTTGCTGTGCATTGGCTGCCGCCTGTTCTGATTTGTTAATGTTATTTTTTGTTGTCTGACCCTTATACCCCGGGGAGGGGTCAAAAGGAATAAATGAAATGAAATGAAATGAGTTACCATGACAAAAGATTATGGGTGAGAATGTTCCAGCTTCTTCCAGCATCTACACTTTCATGTGATATGAAATCTGATTTTACAGAGAAACTAAAGTGTTAAAGCGACTGATTGCAGTTTTACAGGGGATTATGTGTCAGAATTTTGCCAGACAGGTGCAGTGACTTCCTGGAGGACTGTCGTCACCAGAACATTGCCAAAAAAACAGATGATACTCTAACTTTATAGCAGATAGATTTTGGACAGAGACAGGCTGGCTGTTTCCTCCTGTTTCCTGTATTTAAGCTAAGTTAAGCTTACCACATCCTGGCTCCATATATTTAACAGACAGAAACAGGAGCATTATGTCCCAGGTCTAGGGGAACTTAGAACATGCTGTGACTCCCCACTCTTCCCACTCCCAAGGAAGGCCAGTTATAAAATACTACAGTATTTCAAGAAAGTGGGCAATCTGTTTGACTCCAGAGTTGAGCAGTTTCCAAAACAGCAAACAAAAATATACTCATGGACACTGAACTTCCCCAACCAAACACCAAAGTGAAACAAAAGACAAGTTTCTAACCTAAACTTCTACCATTCAAAACAAGAGAAAAGAACATGGCAGTGCCAAACAAAAAGGGCTTCTCACTCTTACTAAACCCGCTGAGAGTGCTCTGTTTACTGTGCTCAAACAAAAAATACAAGAAAACCAATTAACAACTCTAAAAAAAGAGGTGAAACAAAACCTCGACTCACCTACTCTAAACTGATCAGAAAGCTCTCCTAAATAAGAAAGTGATCATGTTCAACACTCAAGTAAACAAAGACAAAAGTTTTTACCTGCTCACAAACTGTGGTACTCACAAACAAAATCTACATTTGAGCCCCGTTTCCACTGAGCAGTTTGGTACGGTACAGTTCAGTTACATACGCTTTTTTTTTCGTTTCCTCTGTGAAAAGTTGTGGATGGTACCAATGGAACCGTTCTGCACCGTCCCCATGTTTGGTCCCCCCTCTGTTGGGGTACCTAGCACACAGATCTGGTACTAAAAGGTGGAGCTGTGAACACTGCAGTCTGATTGGTCAGTAGAGGACGGTCACTCTGCTCAGGGCTGAGTTGTGTCTGGTTTTGAGGCTCATGTAACCACTGTTCATACTGTGGAGAGATTTATTAGTAAACTGTAACTATAAAATGAAAGGATGTTTTGCTGCCTCTCACAGCAGCTGGAGTCTGAGAAAAAATAACTTCATTCACTGGGCCGACTGCCGGCAACTTTTAAGGTGGAACATTCACTTGTAATGTATGAGATCACAACGTGAATCAATCAACACACCTTAAATATTCCATATGACAACGCTGACCATTACATAATTTTTTATATGACATACACTTCTAGCAATGAGTGGATCGTGAAGCGTTTACTGTATATTAATTTCAGCCAGGTTAGGTGGACTGCATATATTGTAATCTTCACTCGGAGAAAAGAAAAGTGTTGCCGTAGCGTCAGGCAACGGCAACACTAAACCCCTGAGCTTGCCTTAGAAGGACTAAATGCACAAACCCACTATTTCTCTCACTGCAGCCTCTTTTATTTTGTTCCGTTCTGTGGACGATAAACGAGGTGCAGACTTCCATTTGTGTCACTGATAATGAGGAAATACAGTGAGTGCTGGACCGAGCAGTGAGTGACAACAACCCCGCCCACATTTAAGGGTACTGTTTGCCATGGAAACGCTAGGGTCTAGGTACCATGTCTGAAGGGTTACTTTTGGTTCCACAGGTACCATACTGAAAGTGTTTGGTGGAAACGGACTCTGCAGTCCAAGTACTGACTTTGTTGGAAGTGGCATTGTGAAAAGAGGGAAGTGCATCTATGAACTGGTGTTTAAAATTTTCTGTCTTGCACTGGACCATTTTGGTGACAGCAATCTCTTTGAAGGTCCAACCAGCAAACGTCCAATCACACTCAACCACATGCACACACTCTGAGGGGAGGAGAGAGACATCACTGAGACAGATAATGACCTGGGTCATAACAAAGAGTGGTAGCAATATTCTCATCTAACTCTTGACAAGAAGAAATGAAATGGGATTATCAGATTGTCATATTATCATATTTAATGGTACAAAACAGGGAGAAGATGCTGTTTTTTTAAGTCCCTAGCAATGGATAATGGTGGAAGGAGAGAAAAGCCAGTAGAAGAATAACTGATGAACCTTTGTTGTAGAAGTAACTAGGATTTTTTTTTTTAATCACTGACATCAAGGCTAGCTAAACGCTTAATCTTACAAAGCTGATGCAAGTCGGCTGTTGTTGTGAGCTTTAAATGTGGGTCTTCAGTCATTCCTAATACTTCTTAAACCTTGATCTTGATCAGTCAGCTAGCTATACCTGACTAGCTTTGAGCCATGATCCTCCAAAAGGGACTACAGCATAAGGGGATATGGGTAATCAACCATGTACACAATATATACAGTAATTTGTGCAAAAGCAATGTGTGAGAAAAAAAAACTCAGTCGAGCCTTTTGTGTTTGCGTCCTTTTTTATGTGCTCATGCGCGCGTTTTTTTTGTTCTCGTTTAGCCCGCACCATTGTTTGTGCCTATTCTCATCACAGCCAGTGACAATCCCATAGTAACAGTGCTGCAGCAGCCCACAGCACCCGCAGTCTGGAGGAGGTAAATCAACTACAAAACAGATGCAGTGTGTGTATGTGTTGGAGCACGAGGTGGTGAGTGTGTGAGGAAGCGAACATGGCAGATTTAACAGGCTGGTGAGCAACAAAGAGCTGCTCCCTTTCTTCTCCTCACGTCAGCTCGGCTTCATGCTCATGCCTCCAGCTCCTAGCTAGCAATGCTCGATAGATAGACAGATACCTAGATGGATGGATGGGAACTCATTTGTGTGTTGAAGCAAACAACCCTGATGGATGGGATAGTATGGTTGGGAGTTTGCTGTCCAATTAATTGTCAGGTGGTATATCTTGCTCTTAAAGTACGAATTTAGTACAGTGATGATGCAATGTTGCTGCCGCATGACAGTGGAAGGCAACTGGACTGACAGGGCTCTGACTGAGCAAATGCTGGAAATCTGTGTTGACAGCATTTATGAATATGCAGGGTACGCAGTTTGAATCTCTGATAATGATTGAGATTGGCTCACTGCAAACAAAACTCATATAAACCCTAAACAAGCAACCTAATTTTGCAGTTCATTCTGTTGTTATCTCCGAAAGAGACTGTGCAGACAATCACAAATTCACAACACAAAGGCTGGCAAAAAATGAAGGGAAAAGCAGAACCATCACTATCGCACAAAATAATAGCCTGCCTGGACAGAAAACGCAATTCGCAGCTGACAGGACAGACAGTGACAGCATAATGACTACTCCAGCTAATGCCGGCGCTGCACTGCACTCCAACAACAATGCAGAAATTTCATTAGCTGGGCACATTCTGCCAGGAGGATATTGAGTTGTGATGCCAGAAATATCAGTGACAGTGAAAAATTGGAAGTGGAGTCTTGTTTTGATGGTAGCCTAAGTGGACAAAATGAGGCGAAAAAAACGTGCAATAACAAAAAGCAACAAGTGGGCTCGTGAAAATCAGATATCATTTCAGATAATCATCGGCAGCAGGGTTGGTGTTTCCACGACAGACTGCAGTTTAATCTGTCCTTTCTGCCATCTCTAATGCTTTCACTCCATCTCCTTCTTCCCCCAGATTGGAGCAAGCGTGTGGACTATGAGCCGGGGACAGGAAGCAAGCAGCTGTTTCCTAAAATGCACCTGGAGACCTGTGGTGGGCCCCTGTCGTCGGTGAGGACCACAGTGGAGCTGCAGACCAGCCACATCGGGAAAGGCTGCGACCGTGAGACCTACTCTGAGAAGTCTCTACAGAAACTCTGTGGTTGGTTCTGCAAATAAAGACATTTCTGTTGTGTTTTGAATATCATAATCATATTTGTTTGAGCAGAATCACAAGCAGAGTTGGACCTGTGGCTATTAGGATGGTGGTGGATATGTAGAATATATAGTAGATGGCTGATCAAAGATGACTTCTGACTGAGGCGGCAAACTGAAAGTTAGTGAAATGAATATGAAGTAAGCTGCTGCTAAAAGCATCAGTGGAATCCACAGTCTGAGTGCCAGGGTCAGACAGGGCCTGAGGCACCATTCTCTGCCCTTTTTAAACCAACATCTGAAAGCTCCTGTTACATGTTGCTTTCTTATCTCCGCTTGTGTCCCTGGTAAACCCCTGTGCTAAATGAAGGCACAAGAATAGCAACTTAAAGCTGTGTCACTAATGATGTGACAGAGTGAGGGCATTAGCTGCCTCAGATGCAGCCACGCTTTCTCCTCGGTGACTGATGAGCAGCCGAGCTGCCGTGTCGGTGCCCAGAGCGCCAACAAAGCAGCCGAGCCTACCCGCTCCCCCCTCCCCGCCCACACTGCACCGCCAGCAGGGGGGCTGGAGTCATCATCTTTGACTAACGGCCTTCACAAGCCCCATTCCAGCTCATCTGAATGCATAGCGTCCCCTCCCTGCCTCCCCTGGCTCCCGGTCCATGCATGGTTTACCACTAAAGAGTCCTTTTCAGGCACCTCATAATCGTTATCTGATAGCGAATAGAATAAATTGTAATTGCTTTTTTAAAGCACAATCAATTTGAGATAATGTACAAAGACATCGGGCAAAGAGAAGGCTGCAGCTGGGTGCTGGAGAAGTCGATGTGTATTTATTTACTGAGGGAATCTAATTACTGGAGTCAGAACGTCAACACTGGCATGAGTATGAGGTGGAGAAAAACAGAGCTTTACAGACGGGGGAAAAACATCAATTAATGTGCTAACGCCGTGTTATTAGCAGGAATGAACAGATGCATGTTGCAATTGTTTGCCGGACAAGGGAGACATGGTGAATTCTGACATTGCCAATTTTTCCTCGGAACAGCATGGTTCCCGTATGGCTTTGATTTATTACCGTCCATAAGCTGTTACAAATGATTTATAAATGTGATTTAATTGCGTGAAAAGCATTTTTCACTGCCACATGGAGATAGATTGGTAAGGGCATGTCGGATACATTGTGGAACAAGGTGAACGACATGGCAAAAATAACGTTTGTCAAAGTGACAGTTTGAAAACAAAGATCATTCAGGGCTCAACATATTGAGGTTATTGTGTCAAAGGAATGATGTAGTTGTAGTTAGGTCTTAGAGAGGATGCACCTTACAAGTTTTTGCCTTTGTGGTGCTAAACCAAAGGTCACATATTGTAGTTTCAACATTGATTACTTAAATTAAAAAGCTGGCACACACACAGATCTTCAGAACAAAACTGACGAATCTGAATTTCACCTATTTATTCTGGCCACATCAAAAAAAAGAAATGCTTAGTGTGTGCCATACCATGCGTCACAAGTGATCATGTGACTCATCGTCATTCTCATCAAGTTCATGTCCGGTGTCTTTTCTTTCTGTGTTAAAATAGTACTCGGTCAATATGTCCTTTGTGTTTCCATAGAGTCACATTTTAGTGGGGAGCCATGTTGAATTAAGGGACGATGACTCACATCTCTTTCCTTTTGAAAGTCAGTTTCATTTGCCATGAATCAATACCCACATCCTCTATCCATCTCGGCCCATTGATTACATATTAAGCCCTGCCATCTGCCTCACTCATAAGTAATCATAGCCAAGGTTAGGCCAATATACACTGCAGATCTGCCACGATTGTTATTGACACCTCTCCTGTCGCACCTCTTATTTGTCCCCACGGCGATGACCTCAGGGGCCTCATCAGGCAGCACTGACCTTCTGCCTGCCCCCAGCACTGCCACCAACTGGACAGCTTCCCTGGTGACTGACAGCGGCAGGGACAGCGACTTGATCTTCAGGTTTGACGGTCATCAGGCAGCTAAAATCCCAGACTGGGTGGTGCCCCAGAATCTGACTGACCAGTTCACCATAGCGACCTGGATGAAACATGGACCAAGTCCTGGGCTCAGAGCTGAGAAGGAGACACTGCTCTGTAACTCTGATAAGACCGGTGAGTGTGAGCCTGACACGCAAGGACTAATGTTCCCATTTTTAGACTATATTCTAAAAGATCACATCATACAAAAATTAAAATTGAGGTATAAAGCTGACAATCTTCTAATTATACTTTTCTTACTGTCAGGAATAAACCAAGCCAAATTAAATAAGCCAAAAACAAGGAATGATCTGTTTGTTGTCGCCCAAAAAAATATTAATACCCACAAACAAGCCACACTGTTGCACTGGGTAACATATTTTTTAATTATACTGAACACAGGCACTGTAGTTATTTTTTGTTAATTTCACTTACATACACCACCCTGCTGCCAAACTGTAAATTCTTACTTGAACACCAGATAGGTATTAATCCGCAGATGAAAATAGTCCCTCAATAAATGCACTGTTTACTCCTGTTTGAGTGACATTTGGTCAAATCTATCAAGAGACCAGCTATCAACTGTTTGTTTCAGTCTTTCAGCGGGAATTTCTGACAATAAAAAACATACAATAACACCACCCATATCCCAACAATATGATCCTCAAACAGCTAAGCGGACACGTAGATGTGTACTGGTTGAAATCAGTTTGAAGAAGGGTATTAGCACATCCAACCGTCTCAGATGCGGCTGCATTGGAAAATATTACTTGAGTCTTTGAACAGAAAAACCCGGACCCCTCCTGGACCTTCATCAAGAGCCTTGAGCATAAATAGAATCTGTCCCACCCATTTCACAGGTGTGCACAGGTGTGAGGGAATTACTCAGCTGTGGGTGTGATTCTTAAAGCCACAGTGTGTAGGAATTTCTCCCATCTAACCTCAGAATTGTATATTGCATTCAAACTGATAGCGCACTCTAGCGCCTCACTGTTTCAAACACGTATTGTAACAACGGTAGCCGCTGTGTACCAAAAAGCTATGATAACATTGATGAAACATGTCATCTGATACTTCATGGAGTATTCATTCAGGCTCCGACACAGACACACGCAACGCGAGTTGACACCACACCTCCTCACCATGCTGGCTGTGTTTACAACGTAGGACTGTTGGGGTGGGTGTAAATCGAAACAAACCAATCACGTCTTGTCTTTTAACAACTGACAAGTGGCTCAACCTCACACACCTCATCCCTCTCGTCGAGTCACTGCGCCGCTGCCTGTGAGTGCATTATCTTTCTCCTTCAGCAGCTCTTTCCATCTGGGAAAGGCTACCCCGATGTTGACCCTCGTTTTTTGAATTCGCCAGTCACGTTGCCTTTTTGATCCCCTTTTGCGCTTTCTTGGAGACGAGGATTGTGTCTCCCGTGATGCTGCATATGCATGATCCTGCATTATGCTCAACGAGTGGGACTTTGTTATGTAGTAGTGAAGCGTCTCTTACTCCTCTCCTTCGGCTTCTCAGTCACACAGTGCTGGCCTGGCTCTCAATGGAAACTTTTGCTGGCAGATGTATTCTCAAGATGGCGAAACATTATGGAACCCCCCAGACGACTTACCCGCACAATGTACAAACAAATCCGAAATTCTCCTTTTACGAGAATAAGTTAGATTATTGGTGCAGGTAATAGTACATCAGTGATGACATATTTATGAATGCAGACATAGATTTTTGCCAATAAACAACTGAAAATGTTTCACAATGTCCCTTTAATAACTGACAACAGCCTGTGCACCATATGTCACATATCCCACAAACAGAAGAACAAGAGAGCAAGAAAAACATTGGAAAAACCTATAAAACCCAAGCTCCTTACACAATAAGGCCATTTACAAGATTATTTACTAACAATGTTGATTTTATGAACGAACACATTGGCCTTGCAGCTTTCATAAATCATTTAAAATGATCAAAATTGTATATTCTTATGCCGTGTATCATAAATTGGTCCTTTGACACCCCCAAACCCATTACTGCATGGCATATCATGGTATCTCATCATTTAATCCTTTGGGAAATAGAGCTTGCAGATTAAATATCCAATACAATTCTCTTCTTTTAAGTATTTCTTCAGTGTTACCACCTCTCTCTGGCAGAATAACTTTTTCAAGCTCAGTGTTGGAAATAATGGCATCTACAAGGGCCGAAATGTTAATGTTACTAATAAATTGTGAAGCTGAGCAGGAGCTGTATGCTGGTTAAAATTAAAATCTTAACTCTACTCACTATAAATCAGCTGAGCAGATCTGTTGCTCACCCACGCCTCTGAATTGTGTTGCTGGTGTAATGTGTCAGGAGGTCAGTTGACAACGGGGTGTACCCGTTATACAACAGACTTGGTTGCACTGACACACAATGGTTGGGCAACACAAATGAGGCAATATAGGCCACCTAGTATGGACAAAAACCAGAATTATATGTATGTAAATTTAAACATTCACAGGTATGTTGCCTCCGTACATAGAAGCAGCACACTTTAAGTTTATAGTGAAATTCAACTTAACATTATGGCCTGTTGCATCCTCATTGAAAGCATAATAGTGATAGTTCAGATGTGCGTTAGTTGTTTAAGCATATTTTACATGTGATACATACTTTAAATGATGCTAAGGTGCATATGAGGAGAGGGTCTGTTCAAAAACTGTCACACCAAACACAGTTCTGAGCTCTGTTGTGATCCAGCATAACAAACTTAGAAACACTGTAGCATGCTTTGCCCAAAGGGAGGATTTTGTTTTAAAAATTTCCAGTGAAAAATGATGTGATATGACCTTGGCAAAGTTGTCCTTCTTCAAAGCAGCGCTGCTGTCCCAGTTTAGCGAGGTTTCACAGAGCTACGTCTGGTTTACATGACAGGGAGTAGGTGTGATGATTGGGTCCTTGGTGCCTACTCCTCTTTCTCCCTCCCTCCCACAGAGATGAACCGTCATCACTACTCGTTGTATGTCCATAATTGCCGCCTGGTGTTCCTGCTGAGGAGAGACTTCACCCAGGTGGACACCTTCAGACCGGCCGAGTTTCACTGGAAACTGGAGCAGGTAAGATGCTGTGATGTTTCCGGACACACGTGGCAGACAAAGGAACTTTTGTGACACTTAACACAAGTGACCTCAGTTTAAACCTTAACTTCACTTTTGTGGATATGATAAGTAGGTTATGGGCCAATGTCATTGGCAGGAATGAAGGCTCTAGCCTGGACTAAACTGGCCTCACACATCCAGTCTGCGTAATCTGTGTTGGTCTACATCTTGCATTAATATTAGAAGACATCATGGGGTTTATTTACAGTGTGTGGATAGAGGCAAAGCAGGGGGTGGCTTCTGTGGCTTCAGCCCTGAATGTTTTCTCTAAAGCCTTGAATCTTTGAGGTTTTTAAAAATACCTTCAACTTTGTGTCATACAGATAATAATATAGACCCATGCTGTATATCCTGATATGCTATCCCCTGAAGAAAACCAATATCAGTGAGTAAATGTTCTTCTGTTGCCCTAATATTAAATTCAGAGTATTGAAGACCACATTTACTTTGCATTGTTGAAGAGCCATGAATTGCAATTAGAGCAGCCCAGATTATTATGGGCTTCAAATGTAGCAGATTTGTCAGTTAAACATTAATTCTGTGAACTCTACTCCTGCATTGGGTACAATACTTTACTCAGAAAATTATGCAGGATTTATACCTCTATGTTGACCTCGGCTGCCCGCATCGCGCATCACGGGGTAAGATGTACACTCACACAGACACAGTTTAACTTACACAAGTTACAACACATCCCATTTACTGTTACAACAAGCCCCAGGCCCAGGCTGATAATATAAACTGTCTGCAACATTTCTCCTGCATTGTTCAAAAGCCAGAGTTTAGTGATAGTCAGAGAGGACAGGAGAGAAAGAAGAGGGAAAGGACAGGACAAGAGCAGTCAGTGGCGGAGCAGCTCGTAGCTAATGGGTACCTGTCTGTGGGCTCTCCACCTGTCAGTGAGACAAACATGAAAGACGTGCAGTTTAACCGAGGAGTAGCGGTCATTACGTGTGACTATTATGCACAGTTGTGAGGTGTGCAGCGGCAGATCTCACAGCACACTGTTTATAAACCAGTTTACCAGTTTAATTGCAAGAAATGTTTAGTTGTTAAGCCATTTCTCATAAGTATAGACATTCACTGTATATCCACTTTTCTACATGTGGCTGCTCCTGGCTTGAGTCTTGACTCTAGTTATCAATAACTTGCAATGCTGAGATAAATGTTTAAAGTCCAAAAAAAGTAATTTATTACAAACAGGTCAATAAAACAGGTTTCAAAATTCAAAATACCCTGTAAACAAATGAAATATTCAGTATTACACATTTTCTTTGGTTACTTTTCTTTCAAACATTTTTTAAAGTTATGATCTTACTGCCGGTAAAAAAACAAAAAAACAAACAAAAACGGTTTGCTCCTGCAGCCGGCCAGAGACGAGGGATCCATTCCACACACCTGAGCCAGAAAAAAGAGGGAGAGAAGGAGAGAGATCGAGTTTCTGTCTTTGATGAATGAAGCCTTATTGTTTTACTGCTATTAAACAATGAGAGACATGTTTTCTCCGTTTACTTAATAGCATAAATATTCACACTACTGCACACGGGGAGACAGAGACCTGCTCTGCTCCAGACACACTCAGCACCTTGGACAGCACGACGCACCTGACTGTTGTCGATGTGTACATGTTAATTTGATTTCAATCATTTTGTTTTAAATCTGGACATGTGCAGGTGGACTCAGCCAGTGCTAAGAAAGGTCCTATGTCTGCCTGTTGGAGAGATAGAGAGAAGATTAAAGCGTCAAATTGCAGTAAAAGATGCTGTATAACAGACAGGCTACAACTTTTTTTCCTTGTCCCCCCCTGGAATTATTCTCTTAAATTTTACTATTTATTGTCCCCCCAACTATGAAATGGGATTTTCGCCCCTGGCCCATAGAGAAAATCTCTGCTCGTCGTTAGGCTAATCTATGCAATGTAAAATGCCATAGGCTTGTGCTAATAGTGTTAGCATATTATATTTGTTTGAAATACGTGTTTAGTATGAGACAGTTGTTTTGTGAGTCAAATTTTGCAGTGTTACCTTTGTTGAATCTTGTTGTTGTCCCTGGCTTTATATGAGTAAAGGAAAAGTCTACTAGCCGCTTAGCTAATTTTTACCATGTAAAATGCCATAGGCTTGTGCTAAAAACATTAGCATGTTGTATTTGTGGGGAAAATGTGTTCAGCAAAAGACAGTTGCTCTATTAAAACTGTCTCTATTCAGCCACGTTTAGTGTGTGTTTTCACACATTAAACTTCACAGAAACCTCTGCCGCCAACTAGTGTTTTGGAGGTGTAACTACAGAGTGACACAGACACAACACTGCACAAGTATAAATGCTCACAACAGCATAGGCCACCTACATAAGCTACAGCGTAGGCTCTGCATAGTGAACAAGTATAAATCCTGCTTTAGTCATCCTCTACATTCGCTATGTTATTGTTTTAGAATGATGAAGACAGCTGAAGAACAATACAGGATGTAGGCTCTACAGGATTATTTGTTTTCCTTGGCAACTATTACATTTTACCAAATAATGAACAGATTTTTAGTTATTGTATTATCTCAAACTGTAAGTACAGATCAATTGAATGGGAATAAGATCTAACCAGGGAAGCGTGCCCCGACACCTCCCTGGATTTGGGCTAACCCCCAAATGTTTATAATGTCTGGCTCCAATCAGGGTTCATACAGGAGTGAAAATGACTAATCAGTCCACGGACCCTGACTAACTGGTGGCCCGTTAGATTCATAAAAAGCTTTAAATATATCCAGGGTTTGTGAACACAAGTTCTTGTATGCATTTCTGTTTAGTGCTCGACTGCACCAGAAATCCTCCTCCAATCCAAAAAAACGGGCTAAACTTTAATTAACCCCAATTAATTTGGAGAACTCTCACACCACTCTACTTAATAACCGTGTAGTTTTTTAATGGATTTAGTGACTCTGCAATAAATATTTGCCATGGATATGAAGTGTTTCCTGTTAGTATTTTATTAAAGCCAGAGCTGTTTCTTTTTTCCTCCTTCCTCTCTCCTCTGCCATCTCCTGATGTGTCATACAGAGATTTATCTAAGGAATCAAATATTTCCAGAGATAAAACACTGTGTTACCTGACATGGGATCAGAATTGGAAATGATTGCGACTATGATTTTGGGAGGCTTTTTTATTTGGTACGGAAATATTGGCATAAATAGGGCAAGAAAAATGTTTTAGAAAAACACAGCCAAAAAATGTCATCGCTTTGATTCAATGATCCATGGGTTGAAAAAATGACACTTTGTCATACGTTTGGATGATTCATATTTAATATTTAATCCATTAAGAGCAGAGTGATATCCTTTCAAAAATATTTTAAGTGATGTATAGTTGAACAAACAGGCATAGCAAACAGAGGCAGAAACACGGTCACTCCAGGGACATATATGTGTGTGTGTGTGTGTGTGTGTGTGTGTGTGTGCGCGCATATACGTGTGTGTGTGTGTAGATAGCAGCTGTCTGTTGATCAAGGCTGCTGTCTTAATGTCAGACAGGTCACCTCGACTCGAAAGACCCCACTCTCGCCTGGCGAGGACATTTGATCCCAGGGAAAGACACACAGCTGAGCCTGGACATCCAGACACAGCACCCAGGCCTAATTTGATCAGACACATGACTGGCCTTGATTTGGGGGGGGGGGGGGGTCGTCCATCACTCTGCTGACGACACATGGCATGGGTGAGGCATCGTCTAGGGAAATTTGAATAGAATAGACAAAAAAAATTGGAAGTAGTCACCATGATGTCACCCACTGGTTTGTGGACAAACGTTTTGAAGCCAGATTTTGCCATTTTGGCCATCGCCATCTTTATTTTTTGGGGCCAGAAGTGACCATATTTGGAGGAGAGGATCTGATTGAGGACCTGGTGAGGTCGCTGTGGTACCAACTTGTCAGTCACAAGGTAGTCATGCCCTGCTTTATTGTCTATTTAATTCTACTGCGACCATAATGTACAAAAATGAACATCATGCTGTACTGAAGGAGACGTAAAACTAGCAATCCAGACCATAAACACAGCTACATTCAACAAGAGAAAAACCTTGGTGGTAATTTTGCTCACTGACTCCTTTGAAAGAATGCCAATGCCAAAAAATACATATTTATAATGTGTGTATTTGTTGACTTGCTCTCAAGCTGCCCTTGCAAGGATAAAAAATAAAGTTGTGTTAAATTGAATTGACTTGAACTGAAAATCCAGTTTGAGAATCAGTTTGTTTCTGGCAGTATGGAGAAGGCGTTAAAACCTGCACTTAGGGGATTAAGATTTACAGAAAATATTCAACGGTGGGCTGAATAATTTCATATATAAAATGTAAATAAGAGGGCGTTTAGAGACCTTCTTGTTGGTGTCTGGTCTTATGAGAGTTTCTTAGTGTGGGTAAAGAGTATGTTTGGGGACCTTGGACTAATAACCTTAGTGTTTCCAAAATCCTGGATACAGTCCTGTAAGCATCTAACATTTTATTAGCCATACTAGTGGCATGACTCTGGGGATGACGATGCTGGTGTGTGAGTCGATCATCACTAACTATTGGATGTGCTGCAGTTTGTGCATATTTCAAGGTTCCCAGAGGACAAATCCGACTAACTTTCATGATGCATTGACTTTTCGTGCAATTGCTACAGGTCAAAGTTTCACTTATCCAGTAAAATATCTCAATATCTTCTGGATGGATTGGCACAAAATTTGATACAGACATGCATGGTCCCCAGAAGATGCATCCTAGTAAGTTTGTTGACCCTCTGACTTTTCCTTTAGCGCTGCCGTGGGGTTGACAATTTTGTTTTTCAGTCAAATGTCTCAACAGCAATTGACTGGATTTCCCTGACATTTGGTCCAGACATTAATGGATTATAATAACTCTGGTGATGCCTTCACTTCCTCTAGCACTATTTATGCACTTTTCTTCAGAGAACTAAAAGCCATTATGCC